TTATACAGAAAAATTTCTTTGATCTGGAAAAACCAGAATCAGCTTACCCCATCAAGTGATCTACATTCCAGCCAAAAAATACAAACACGTCAACAATATAAACAAGTCAATAACAATAATATGTTAACACGTTCACTATAATAACAACACGTCAACACATCCACAATAACAATAACACATCAATACATTCACAATAACAACTATACGTCAACATGCCCATATCACAATTATATTAACAGTATAAACAAATCAGCACCACTAGCACGTCATCACATCAGCAACATAAACATATCAACACCCATTTAACAACAAACATGTCAATATTTTACTGACAGCACAAACATGTCAATAGTTCACTACTATCTATACACATCAATAATATAATACTATTACAAACACATCAACAATTCACTATTTTTATTAACATATTAACAACCTGCAAGAACAATGTTAACAAATCAATTGTCCCAACTATTATCTATTACTTCAACTGATTTACTTCAAGCTATATCAACATCCAAACTTTACTATGTACCAAACAGCTTTATTTTCCTAGACATCATTCTCATAGAAAGAAAAAAACAGCTCTTTGCATTAATATACATGGATAAAAGTAACAATATAGTCATTACAGAACTTTTCAACTCCATCACTGCTTCACTATTATTAAACTATCCTTCTAAATGGTTCATCCCAATGCAAAACTTGATCCATCCCAAATCTCCAAACCTCTCTATAATTCAAATTGACTTTTCAATCAAGAGCCAAAACAGCCTTCAGGTTCAGGCCACTATTTCAAAAGTCAAACTTGCCACCCACTTAGATGAGTTTATAAGATTTCAGGATTCCTTTCAGAAAACTTTCCTAAGTAATCAGCATCTTAGAGTGGAAGTCTTGAACAGTGTATCCAGTAAAGGTTAGAACTACTCCAAACACGTTCCTTGGAATATGATCAACATCGAAAAAAAAGTCAACAGAAAAAATAAATTATATAATCTAAGAGCAAGCTTCCAGTTAAATACAGCAAATCAATCTGCCTCTATACAAATACTCAATCCTATAGATTCTATATCAATCCAGATTCCTATATTACCAGTCCAATTAGAATCACTCACTTCATGTATGAACTCCAACTAACCACAAATCACTTTATCACTACCCAATCAAATATCACCACAGCTGGATATAGATGATCTTAACAACTCATCTATATCAATAGACTTAAATTTTTCCATACCAAGTGACTTAGATATGGAAATATCTATCAGCTTCTACTCAACTCCAAAAGGCAACAATAACTTTTTTCCTAACTCCATCAGCTTCTCAAATATAATCAGTTTTGAGAAACTAGACAGATCCTCTTTATCACCTATTAGATTCCTATCACTCATGATTCAAAGCTTTTCTTTACATAACTTATCTAACTCAATTAGTTTTATATCTCCAGATATTCAAACAACAGATTCCAGCAAAAAAAATATTTATAAATCTAGAGAATATCAAGCCAGAGCAAGACTTACTGATTACAAGAACAATCTATTATCAAAACCAGTAAACATCAAGTCCTATAACTTTCTGGATTATGAACACAATAGTGAATTGAATGATAGCAATATTCTACTACCAGAAATCTCAAACAACTATTGTTATATAGTACAGTGGACCTCTAAACTGTCATCAATCAGATGCAAACCTCAAGATCTTATCAATCTTATTCTTGACATTTACAAAATGTCTAAAGAGAGTTTCAGACAAAAACCACATCTTGCTATTTTTATCAAAATCGAAGCTAGAGATAGACAATTCTTCAGATTCTTCTCTAGAATAGATAAACTCAAAAGCAACCATCAGAAAGAGTATGAAGTAATAGAAAAAAGTTTATAGAACAACTATAAAGAGAAAAACAAAATTTTATTTTCTAACCGGGAGACAAGATCCAAAATCAAACTGCTCTTAAATGCTTGCCTTCTTATTGCATATATCCGTTATATCAACATCCTTGAGCTTACTCCATTCTTCCTAGTTCAAATTTTGGATTTTGGCTGCAATTACTTTTATTATCCTGCAGACTCAGAAAATCTGGACCTGTTCCAAATCTATTTTTTGTGTAGAAAGTTGTTTCAGGATAACTTACCACCACTTCCAGATGACTCAAAATCCATTCTATTAGAAACCAAAACAAAAATCTCTTACAGAATTCCTATCGCAAACAATATATGTCATTAGATTGGACCTTGTGTATATAAAATGGGCCTACCCATTTCGGGTCTAGTTTGTTGCTTCGTGAATTCTCTTGAGATACCCTGTATCTCAATACTTTGCCTCCAATGTCGAAGCTTTTTCTCTTTCGAATCCTTCAATCATATTAGGCTTTTACTTTTTGTTAAGTAGTATTTACATACATTATTGTATCTTTTCACTGTTGTAGTAGTACTCCTATCAGGTCGACGATTCGTTGAAGTATCATCTCTTTTGGTGGTTCATCATCCTCTACAGGGTGAATAGGGGTTCATGCTTCTCTCCCGTAGACTAGATAAAAAGGTGTCATTTTTATAGTTTCTTGTCGTGCTATTCGGTAGGAAAAGAGAGCGGAGGATATCATCAGGTTCCAATCTGTAACATTGTGTACTATTTTGGCAATGGACTTACATAAGGTATGGTTAAACCGTTCTACTAACCCATTCGTTTGTGAGTGATATCGTAAAGAATATAGATGGTTAATACGAAACTTTTCTAGAAAAGCATTTAGCATTCGTCTTCTAAAATTCACACCTTATTGGATAACAATTGCATCGGGCACCCATGTCGACATACTATATCGTCATAGATGAATTTTGCTATTTTTTGCAAGGTCGCTTCTTTTAGGACACATTCCTCAGACCATTTTGTCATGTAATCGGTAACAACCACTATATAATGATTTTGCCAAGGGGTAATAGGTAAAGGCCCTACTATGTCGATTCCTATCTTTATGAATGGTTTTCCTATTGGTATGGGATGTAGGGGCTCTCGTTGTTTATTCTTCTCCCTTCTCTGACATTGGTCGCAAGATCGTATGTATGTTCGAATGTCTTCGTATAACTGCGGCCAATAATATAGCTCTTGAATCTTATTAAACATAACATTCTTTCCCAGATGCTCTCCCAGTGGATGATTATGTGTTAAGTACAAGATAGGTCCCAACTCATGGCATCGTAATACCTTCAATAAGCTATTTTGTTTATGTTTATCCTTTTTATAAACATTTTCTCCCTTTACTATAAAGAAATTACTTTGGGCTCTTATTCTTCTTGCTTGTTGCTGAGCATCCTGTAGGTAACCGTTGTTCTTGTAAGTATTTTTTTAATTGTCAGTATTGTTTTTCGTTCATTTTATGTTTGGCTATATTATTATTATTTTTTTTTTGACTTTTCTTTTTACTTGCTAGCTTAGCTCTCTTTTTTTCTTTCTTGTCAGAACACTGGAACCTGGGCAGGATTCTGTTTCTTTGATTGTTAATTTGTCAGTCTATTATTTGTAGTTTATTGTATTACGGTTGTTAGTGATTTTCTTATTATTGTTTGTCACTCTCCTCTTTCAGGTCTCATTTATTATTATTGGTTACTTCAGGCAATTGATTATTATTCTTAGCATTAATTCTGTTATTTCATTTCCCTTTATTAATCAGGTGGGATAAGGCATCAATATTGAAATATTTTCTTCTGGCACGATGTATTATTGTGTAATTGTATGGCTGGAAACAAAGAATCCATCATGCTCTCCTACTCTTCAACTTAGAAGTTTTCAACCATCTTAACGCAGAATGGTCAGTAACTACTATAAATAGATTTATACCCAGGTAATGGTGGAAATACTCGATTCTCCATATCACAGCTAGGCATTCTAACTCTGTTGCTGTGTAATTTTTTTTGGTTTTCATCAAACTTCTACTAGTGTAAACAATTACATATTCTTTTCTTGTGTCATCCACCTAAGCTAACACCGCTCCTATGTTGGTCCCGGACGCATCGGTATGTAAATAAAATGTTTTCTCAAAATTTGGGTATCATAAAATTGGAGCTGTTGTTAGAAGTGTTTTCAATCGTTCGAATACTAATTGTCATTCACTTATCCATTCATATTGTACATTTTTTTCGAGCAATTGATATAACGGCCTAGCAATCATCACGAATCCTTAAATGAATTTTCGATAGTATGATACGAGGCTGACAAAACTCCATAGCTGTTTTACACTTCTCGGTGCTGGAAAGTCCCTTACCCTTATTACCTTGTCTTCATCTAGTCGGATACCATTTCTCTCAACCATATGTTCCAGAAACCCTATATTTGATAGGAAAAACTTATACTTCTCTACATTCAGTTTTAACGAAGCTTGACATAGTTTTTCAAAAACATAGGTTAGGTGGTCAATGTGCTCTGAAAATGTCTGTGAGTATACAATAATGTCATTTAAGTAGATGGCTATGAATCTATTGATGCAATCATACAGTATTTTATTCATGAGCCTCTGGAACGTGGCTGGTGCATTACACAGTTCAAATGGCATTACCCAGAACTCATATGTTCCAAATTTTGTCACAAATGCTGTCTTTTTACGATCTTTCTCATGGATTTTAACTTGTCAATATCCGTTGGCGAAATCAAGGTTTGAAAATCATTCAGCTTGCCCGAGGGTCTCGATCAAGTCATCAATTCTCAGTAGGGGGTAAGTATCTTTCTTTGTTACTGTATTCAATTTCCTATAATTAACACATAAATGTTGTTTATTACTCTTCTTGGGCACTATTACAATTGGTGATACCCACAGGCTCCTCGACTTCACGATAAGTCCTTGATCCCTTATTTTTACCAACTCGCTTCTTACATACTCAAGCTCATTAGGAGCCATTTTGTAAGGCATCTGCTTGACTGGTTTTGCATCACCTGTATCAATTTCGTGACAGATCACATCTGTCTGGGTAAGCTCATCTAGTTCCTTAGCAAACAACCCTTCTCTTGTCTCAAAGAGTTTTATTACTTTCATTCATTCTTTTTCCATCAGATTGTCTAGATCCAACTTGGGGTTTCTTGATGGCAGGTTCTTCCTCATCTTCTGGAGTCAGTACTTCCTCCAAGGTAGTCAGGTATACCGCAGGGCTCGGAATCTCTTCACGCATTACTTCTTTCCCTTCAGATTGCTCCCCTATATAATACTTTTCTTCTTCTTCTACCTCTTTGCTTTTGTATTCTGACTCATTGAAAGTATCTCCACTTTTATATTCACCTGCTTCTGATTCGTCCGGTCGTGCTAATCCTTTTATTTTATAGTGGGAGATAGGTATTTCTAGTTCATTCCCTTGATAGTTCAAAAATATTCTTCGTTTGTCGAAATGGATTCGAGCTTTCCCTTTTTGAAATTAATCGTTCCCGAGTAATAATGTTTTATCTTTAGATTCAATAACTTTTAAAGTCACAGGGATGATTACTTCCTGTAGGGTAATTCCCACTTCCCTTACTTTTCCTAAGGTTCTCTTTCTAGTTTCATTAATGGCGATGACAACAGAGATAGATTTTTCGTTTATCTTCAGGTGGAGCTTATTCAATAATTTCTTTGTTATTATGCTTACTGCTGCTCCAGTATCTAAGGTAGTGATTACTAACTTATTACCTATTTGTACGTAGTATTTTGCGACAGTCATTTTAGAGATGTCTACCGAATTCATCTGATTCGTTTTACTCAGGGTTTAGTCCTTCTCAATATTTTTAAAAGATTGCATCTTTGATCAGTGTATTTTAGCAATTGTTCGTACGTCGCATTTGCCTTCATTGCCAAGATATCCTCAGAGATGTTATAGGGGCTAAGTAAATCGATAACTGATGGCATCCTTTTTCGTTTAGGTTTCCTGGTGGCACCAGTTACCTCAGGGGATTGTATGATTACAATTGGTTCCTGCATTCCTATAAGTTTTTGTATTTTTCATAATTTGTTTGTATTTTTCTTTTGCCCTTCTGTTCTATCTCTCTTTTTTTTTGCAGCTCACGTTACCACCCCTAGCATGTAGGCTTCTTCTTCCTCCTCTTCCTGTTCGTCACAATACTGTACCCTTGAAGCTGTGGTCCTTGGAAATTCCCTTAATGTTTTTTCTTTGGTATATTGTCGGGCTATATGCCCTTCCTTATCGCAATGGTAACAGATCACATTTTTCTTTTCCTTGCTTCTCTGCCCTTGTTGAAATTCTCTCCACTGATTTGCACAGTTCGGTGGGAGCTCTCAGATTCATCGTTCGAGTTTTTTCCTGCTACTCTCCAGTTGTTTCTTCGTGTCTTTTGTTTTTCCCCAGGCCTGTTATTCATAATAATTCTCTGCTTCCACCTTTTACGCCACCATAATAGCTTTCATTAGGTTTTTGGGTGATGTCATAGTTACAAAAGTAGCTGTATTGCCTCTCAACCCATTCAAGAACATCCTCACCATGTAATCATCTGAAATTGTTCCGTTTGGATCTACCTTCGTAAGTAACCGCTTGAACTTCGCAGCATACTTATCTATTTTCTCGTCACTCTGCTGACTCATTTCGTTCAACTCTATCTGCCACCTGTGCCACTTTTCGGTAGTGGCAAAGTGCTCAACTAGTATATTGCAAAAGCTTTGCATAAGGTTTGTATCGTCTTTTCATTTTCTTATCCCATTTTTATTTTCCTTATATCACTCGGTTGCTAGTTCTACCAGATATTCCGGAACTACCCTTAGTCTTTTTTTCTTATTCTAGTCATTAATTTTTGCCACCCGTTCGAATTCTTCCAACCATTCCCTGGGTCGTCATTCTTCTCTTCAGCGAATGTCCTTGCTCTTACAGAGTCGGGTTTTCGTGCTCCATTTGATTTATTTGCTATATCGTCCAGTGACTTAAATAAGCCCTGTATAAACTGTTGAAATTGGTTGTCATTCATTTTTTTTCTATTCTTTTTATTTATTACTAAAAAAGGAAGATTTTAATAAAATACCAACTCAGTCACGTAAAATAAAAAAAATTGAGGGAGGAGGAAAAAAAAATAAATGTCATGTCTTAATTAGATTTGTGTATTTCTCAACGGTAACTAATGGTACATCAAGTATGGGGGGTAGCAATGTCATCGTAGTATTCGAATTTCACAGTCACCATCAAAAATGTTATGGTGAAATATGGCAAGTCTGTCACTTCTGTTTTGTCTACACTGTACTATGTTGGAAAATAGTTTCTCCTCAAAAGAAATATGTATATTTGGCTCAAGTTTAACAATGACGCAGGTCAATCCATCGATCATGTGTCGTAACTGTCAACCTCTTGCATGGTTACTCCTTTGTTTAGTGACACTCTCAAGATAGATAGCCTTTTTAGTGCGCAGTGCCTATTCTTCTTGATTGCCATATTTTTATATTGTCATCTTATTTTTATACTTTTTATGCCTAATATAATTTAGCCAGCTTTGGACTTATTATTCAACTTTATACTTGTT